TAGTTGACTTTCAAGGTCAAATGGAAGAGTGTACAGGCATGACAATTCTTACGTCTTTTTTGTTTTTGAACCCATCTTGTCACGATCTAGTACTTCTCAGCTTGCTTCGAGGTGATGAAGGATCAAGTGCCAAAATGATATAAGTTACTAGTACAAGTGAAGGGTTGAAAGAAGATTGAGAGGTGCTACCTTTTCTCGAGTGAGAGGTGTCACTTAAGTACTTCCCCGGTGTACGATGTAGAAATCTGGGAGAGTGGTCTTCCTACATAGCACGCCCCGAAGGTAGCGTTCCTTCGATAGAAGAACTGGCAAGGAGGCGAAATACGAACAGGGGAGCGAGCATATCTGCTCAAAAAACTGTTCGATAGGAGAGTTAATATGGGTCGAATTGCGTATACAGCCTGACAGGATGGCCTTTCCCAACCCTCTAGGCATCTCTCTAAATGGACGGATAACTTTTGTATCGGTGCTAAGTTCACTTCCCATGCACAACTTGCAGGAGGACCCCTTCACCCATCATTAGATGATGAACACATCAGACAACACTCCAGCAAATCACTCTCCTGCGTCAAAACACCCCAATGAGATCATATCAAACCCTGGGGCTGGCCATACTTCCCGTTCAATTTCGCTGAGTAGAACTGGGTGATTTGAGGGCCGACATGGATTCTCAGAGATTTCGTTGGTCCAATGTATTTTTTTGCTCATGGGCATTACCATTGTACGACAAGTGGTGGAGTTCTCGCTTGGAGACGAGTCTTGCGACTTGGGTCTCATTGGATAGATGACCTTTGTTTAGCCAATACGTAGTATCGGATCATCATCATGCTTCCAGAATTCCTGCGTTCCTGAGACTTGCATGAACTTCTTTTGATTGGCTTTGCAGTGCTTGACAACAAAAATTTCCTTGACGCCCGGCTTGTGAGGTGTTTGCCTTGTTGCCTTCTTCTTGTTTCTTCCGCTGGTCGACACACCGCATAGCTTTGGACGTCGGAACTCTTAAAGCGGTTCTCTCTCCTCATATCTCGAGTATTCGAACATCATTCAAAATCTTCCAACATGGACGACATTGCTAGTTCCTCGACAGCAAATCTCAGCGTCCCGTATAACGAAAGATGGGATCTTCTGAGGGAGGTGATTGTCGGATTGTACATCGGGGAGAACAAAAAGCTCAAAGAAATTGTGGAGATCATGAAGATCAATTCCCAGTTCTATGCCTCGTCAGTATTACATCTCCTAGGTTTGCACCCCGCACAAGTTGCATCAGACTGATTATTGTCCTCGCTACAGGGAGCCTCAGTACAAAAGGCAATTCAAGATCTGGAACTTAGCTAGAGCGTTGCCTTCCAAGAAGAAGGACAAAATTATCAAAACTCTCGAGACTCGGGCCCAACAAGGAAAGTCTTCCATGGTGCTGCAAAAAGGCAAAGACGATGCGCTCAATAAGGTGAGAAGATATATGAAGGAGTAAAGTAGACGTGATCAACACCTGGAATTGAGACTCAGCAATGACTTTGTTTCAATCGAGAATCTCAGCGGCCATGCTTTGCAGTGTGGGAATAAAGTGTAAGTTCTTCAGTTATCCATCCCCTTGACGAACTTGCTTATTAAACTCTTCTAGATTCATGAACTGGACTATGTCTGCTGAGGTCCTGAAGACTCTAAAGTCGAATGCTAGGCTGGATCATCCTTCTCCAAGTATGTGCTATTGCTACCTATGACAACGAGAGTTTGTTTGTCGTATATGACCGGTCTCTTGCCTCCCCAGATCTTCAAGAACAACCTAGTATATTGCCATGAAGAAGCCAGGAGACTTGATCGGAATGTTCTATCGAGGGAAGAGAATACCCTGTATTATTCTCTCCTTGATAAGACATTTAGCGACGCTGCCGGTCATATTTTGTCTAAAATTACAAGCATCTACTAAATATAAATTCTCGGCGTGTCTGCGGATACTCCTATCAGCGACGTGCAAGTAGCAACACCGCAATCAATTGCTTCCCCGTTAGCTATCAATATCCTGTCCCCTGGCCATGCTCGTTCTCCACGACATGAGGTGTTTTCCGTGACTGAGAGTGTCAAATCCCAACGGGCCGCCGCCCTCTTCGTTCAAGGAAGACACTCAGAGTTATTTCAAGGAATGAACCTCGATCAGCAAATGTAAGGGTTGGACTTCCTAGTCAATTATTCCGTTGAAATATTTTCAGCGCTATTACCGATTGGATGCACAAATTCTGGTTATTCTCCTTCGGGACAGCGAGAACCTGGGGACATGGTTCACCATCTTGGAACACAACAAATCACGCCTCAAACGACTTTTTGAGTCCGGGTCACCATAGTCTACCCAGTACTCTTTCCATGAACATGAATTCGCTTGGTGAAAATTCCAGTGCTGCAGGTCTGCAACATGATAGAAAGTGTAAATCACACCTCCCAGACCTAAACGATCTCTGCCTTTGGAGCATTCACTGCCGAGGTGTGGAATACAATTCAAAGGCAGACCCGAAAGGAGTGATTGAAGATCCCGAAGATGAGACTACTTGGAGACAAGAGGATTCGCCTAGAACCATCAACGATTTTGTAGACATTTTGGCGTCGAACCTGGAGACAAATGACTTTAGCGAAATCAGGATTGATGATCTTCCAATTTCGGTAGGTCAGATCATCAAAGCAGTCAAGCGTTCACCAGAGCAATTACTAGAAGAGGCATTTGGATTCAGTATCATGGCGCGTAACATTGAGCTTGTTACTGACATGTTAGAGAAGATCCGCGATATTTCCAACTTTTCTTTCGATAACCTATTTCCACTACATCTTGCGGCAAGCTATCTAAATGGGGCAAAAGATTGTTGTCTCATATTTGGAAATCTCATGAATCACTTAAACTCTGGACATATTCATGTGCGAAGACTCTACACAAACCACCTTGGTCACACGGTTCTCGACAATCTCATGATTACAATCCTCAAGTCACACAGTACTTGTCCTCCATATCTAGTTGATGAAGCATTCAAAAAAGAGCATCGATTTTCTGGCGAGGAGGTGGACACCTGCGGTCGATGGGATGCGGATTCTGACTGTGTGCGAATACTTCAACACAAAGGACATCCAACCATACCCAGCGAGTGGAAGCATATGTTCTGCCACACCTCGGTACAGGCTATAACACACTGAATTGGAGCACTCTTCACCCCACATTGGGCACCGGACATCAATACACCAAGCGGCATCTTTGTCAAGCGTTGTCCTTCTGAATCTTGTGGATCCAAGTTGCAACCAAAGCCACTCCACACGTTAGTCATAACAGCAATCACCCTGGCAGAGTTTGGACGCGAAGGCGAAAATCTATTCGGAATGTTAGCATGCCTTCTTTGTCTTCTAGGGAGGGGTGCAAATCCTCTATTGACAGCTAATATTTCACTTACGCTGCTCAATGGCAAAAGCGGAACAGAATGCAGTCACTCCGAAGCTACTCCCCTGCAGCTTGCACAACAGGTGACTCCGGAAACTGTAGGTGAGTGGCCACAATAGCACAGAACTGGGTGGAGAGCATTTTGCGCCGTGCTCAAATTGTCACAAGATGAATGGGTACCACAGAATCCCAGTACACCATCTAGAATGGACATTGCTGAGAATGACGATGATATTCTACCCCCATTTTGTGAATATCACGAGGAGGGGAAATTTTCCCAGGGGAATTATTCTAGCAAGAATAAAAGCCTGGGAAGTTTGTGGGCATCTGTACAGACGGAGCTTTTAAGCTATAGACGAATCTCCGCCGTCGATCCGTGTCTATCAGTTAATTTCGATTTGAGTTCGGTTCTCGAAAGTTTGATAGGTGACCGTCCTCTTACAATCAGGCTTGTCTCTGACAACATGATGAATGAGTTCTGCAGATGTGGTGTGTTTTGCAATTCGTACGATGACACCTGTCCGCGAGTTGAGGAAGCTTCGAGATTCTACTTTTCTAATCTGGAAGATTGGAACCGTACAACATTCTTGGAAGCGGTGGAATTATATTATTAGTCGGGTGCTTAGCCTAGCATTCAGAAAGATGCTTGGAATAACGTACATCATCACAGCGAGCACCCTAACGGACAATCATAAACCTGGCACCTATCTCATAAAAGAACAGTCGTTTCCTCTAGCTAATGAAATTAAACAATAAAAGCCGTGTCAAGTTCCAAGAAACGCTTCTGATGAATTATGACAAGAATATTAGATATCATCTCAGGTTAAGTCATAGAACATGTTGAAGCCCCTGACTGCAGGCTTCCTCGATTTCTCCTTTCTGGGAGTTAAAAACTCAATATCTTGATAGAGTGCATGTGACTCATACTCACTGGACCAAATCGACTTCTCTAAAACGAGTAGAGAATACCACTATCCGTTAACTCATTCTCAAATATCAAAACTGCTCCCTCTATTTCAAGCCAAAGAATATGCTTGAATATCTGGAAACCATAGCAGGATTAGGCCAAACCTCTTGACTTGATGAAGACAATTTATCCTCGCAAGGTTCTACAATAACTCGCCGGCAGCTCAAGCATCTACATGTAACCGTGGTATATGCAGGAATTTAAACAAGAGCCGCTCGTAACGACCTACAAGGAAAAGCCAACATAGTGGCTGAAGACTAGCGTGCCAGGGAGGTGGTGGTATAAATATTAATACTCTAGGCCCTACGCTTCGAGACAAGACAACGCTAGTACATTTTTCAACATCAGAGCTTCGTCATTCACTTGCACCTTTTGTGGACTGTATTAGATGAAGAATTGATGATTCTTTCAGTCCGGATTTGAGCTATGTGTGTATATTGTTCCTGTTGTAGTTAACTCAAAAAGTTGGTGTCCACCATGCGCTTAAATGCTCGGCTCCACCTCGCCGCCCGAGATGCGGTCATCCCTAACCACTAAAATCTTCAATAATCAACTCCTGAACCTCTTCAAAAAAATAAAAAAAAAAGAGGCTTCTAGTTTACTAGAGAGCGTCGGGAATTGAGCCCAACGCGGGGATCGAACCCGCAGCCTTGAGATGCCTAATCAGGTTAAGAGTCTCACGCTCTACCGATTGAGCTAGCCGGGCTTCAGGAGCTCCTCGGATAGCCGGGAGAACCCGGTTGGTTGATGTGTGGTGGGATATTATTTCAAAATATAAATATATCAACTTAATGACTTGGGGTACGTTTATTACGAGGTTAGTTCGACCCCTTGCGTTAGGCTTAATTCCCTGCGTTCTCTCGTAAACGAGTGGATCGTAAACGAGAAGCCTTCTTTTTTTATATTTTTTTAGCTATCATTTCTATATTATTATATTTTGTTTTAGATTTTCGCTGCTCCAGTGAACGAGAGTAATTGCGTTCAATTAACAATTATGTACGAATACCTCCTCTCAGAAGAACAATTTGTCACACTAGTTACCGCTATTTAGAAGAACCTATTGTAAGCTCCAGATGTGCGAGGCAGAAGGAGGTACGATTTTCAAGGCAAAGAACTCGAAAGTTTTCGACGAAAAGCTCAAACAATCGTGAGAATAGCTCGAGACATACACGAGACGAAAAGGTTCTGGAAGTTGGATAGTAAGCTCTAGCCTATATAATAAGTATACTACTACCTTCTCGGAGAACTCGCGATTCTATAATAAGAGACTCGCTAGAAATCAGAGGAGGTATACCACCTAGATTTCTCTCTTTTTTCTAGTGCGAATTTGTCCCGATATTCCTGTCTCTTTCACTTATAGACTTAAGGATCTAGTGCTTTAAAAAAATTCTTCGTTTAGCCAACTGCCTCTTCCGAGTATATTAAATACCTATGGTTGATCACTTTCAACGAATCACGATCAAACATTAGTGTCATTTCATTATTTTTATTTCGTCTATGGCTGCTTAACTAGCTATCATCTTGTCGTGGTCAACGAAATGCGCAAAACTTTCCTTTTAACAGAGTCAACCACACCTGACCAAGGACTAGCTAACAAAACCACCTCCCAGTGGGTCTCGTATTTCCACGCCCAACGCCGTAATGTACGAAAAAGGATATCCCTAGGACATCTGGTCCTATTGCCCCCCATCAACGCCATGCGAGAGTCGATTAGACTAACTTGGGAAAAAGCGAATTGTCGAAAAAAACACCGTCGTAACCAACCGCCCACGCCGATTTATGCTTGTGTGCTCCCCCACCGGTAAATGCTACATGCTAACCACCTAGTCGATCTCGACGATCTCCCTTTTTAGAGGATTCTTTCGCCCTTGGCTCTGGCTTGAATTAGGCGTGGGTTGTTGCAATCTTTGCATCGGAGCCTGCGGTCGAGGCTTTGGAGGATAGCCTAACGCCTTCTGAGAAATAACCATATTCCGTACCGCATCGTCCACTTTTTTCAGAAGCTGCTCGACACCGTGACCTTGTGCGACTCCACTAACTCGCATACCTTGAAATCCAGGTCCAGAAGAATTCCACACTGGCTTCAAAGCTTCGTCGAAGTCATCAGGTTCTCGTTGATCTGTCCTCTCCAGAGACCACCATGGCACACCACTTCTCTCCCGTAACTTGATCTCAAACAAGATTTTCCGAGTCCGAGGAGGTGTGCTTGGATCTCTAGAGGCCGTAAAGACAGCATATCGTATCTCGTGCCAGTCCGCCGCCCTAGCCAATACGAAAACCTCTCCTTCGTCCTTGGATACAGAGACCCATGCTGACTCAACAGCATTCAAACCATTAAGCACAGGAAGTGTAAGAGGTAGTAGTGTAGCTACACCTCGCAGTCCTTGCTTGCTATTCAATACTTGTTCCATGAAATCAGCGATCTGGAGATGTGGATTGCCTCGCTCCAGAATAAGAGATAGGGTGTTGGCCGCAGCACTAAAGTCTATCACAGCTTTGTATTGCATCGACGACCTAGCCAAGTTCGAATTTTTGTTTCCGTTGGCATCGACCATACCATATGTAAAGGCTATCTTGCCTAAGGAGATCTGTTGACATTCGAGTGATGCTGAATGCTCCTGAAGAACCTTGATAAATTCAATCAAGCGGAAGACGCGAGTTGTGTGCTCGACAAGATTCGGTATTACTGATTCGCCGATTTTGCTGCGTAGGCGTAGTGCAAGACAATTACTCTGGAATTCGAAAGCGACGTCTCGGTCGATCTTCTCCTTGGCATATTTGAGAGCAGACGGGAGCCGTATACTTATTCGCGCTTCAGTGATCATAACCACGTTGTCGTCAAGTACTGGCATCCCGTTACTGAGCGTGGCCACCGGCGGCATGGGGGAGGCCTCATTTAGACCTGGCTTGATTTCGAGACCTTGAAAGTTGAGTTTGATCATATCTTTCGCGGCCTTGTTGCGCCATTCGACAAGATCTGATATTCGCGCAAATATAATAGGTATCTTCATAAGGCCTCTCATGTGTTTGCTCTCATGGAGCATATTTGGAACACGTCTGGTATGCAGTGACTTGAGATTTGCATGGTGCGACATAAGAGCGGCTGCGTAAATTTCGAGGGTGGTGAAGAAAGAATATGTGGGCAATGGAGTAAGGATCTTCATAGGTAGGTCGAAGGAACTAGATATCTTCAAGTGGGCACTTTTCACGGGTTTCCGAGCGAGGGGGGCAGCAGGTTGTGCAACAGGGTCAGCGCTATACACACGATTAGCGTTGTTCAAAAAAAAAAGATCTTCATCAAGAACATACGTTTCGATCATTCGCCAGCTCTCCCCACTCGACCCAATAGACGCCGTCAGATACCAATTTTTGACCCATCCATTTCTCTTAAACCAAAGGACTTTCACAGTACCCTTAGGTACTACTTTTTGAAGGTCATCTCTCTCTAGACCCGGATTTTGAACCCCTACCCAACCCACACTAGCGCCTCGTGTGGAAATGTGATCAGCAACTATATCATAACGCAAGTCATCGATTGCTTTGTGCGCATTCGTTGCTGGATCTGGCATATAGTTTAATCTGTTTTCATGATTCATAACCAGTCGAGAGGCAGGACTATAGATGAAGCGGCCAGCGATCGGTTCGATTTTAAGCGATATTTGTCGATCGCTTGATATTTGGACGTTCAACTCTGATTCCGATGGCTGATCATTAGATAGCTTGAGCGCAATAGCCGCTTCTAATGTTGTGTAGAGCGGCTTCCCAGATAATTGGGAGTATGTCGAAACCAAGATATGCTTGATGTGGCTTGCGATAACTGTTTTAAGAAGGGATTCCGCTGATATATTGACGGTGTCAAACACAACGTCCTCCCCAATGACCTCTTTCGACTCTAGGAACCATCTAACAAAGAGGCGAGGAGTGTCCTTCGGTCGGGCAACCCCAGACTTCGGTTTACCGCTGTGGACTCCAAGGATGAGCCAACTCTTGGGGCCGCCGTGACCATATCTATCAACCCAATATTGCATGGAAACCGCTCTGTTGAGTGACTCCACCTTCAGTGTTTCGACCCACTTCCCTCTCGATAAGCTCACAGCTTGTCTTCTGAACTCGCTGATCTTGTGATTTAGGACCATCCCATGCAGGAATCGATAGCAATCTGAGAGTCCTCCTTCGGCGAGAGCTCTGTTGACTCGGTTTTCAATATGAGCGCGAAGGTGGCCCAAGTCAGATGCAGCTGGTGAGAAAAGAAATCTGAAATCAATAAACCAGAATTGAGCCTCTGGATTCTCCTCCGCTATCGTCAAATCGACCTCAAATTCCCCCTTGACTTTGAAAGTCACTCGTCCCGAATTGATGGTGTATTCCTTGAAATGGAAGGGAATATTATCGTAATCGTTCAAATTGAGCCGTATTGAGAGAAGCGTATTAATATTCTCAAGCGATTTTAGGATATCCTTCGGAGACAGAGGCGGTGGCTCAATGTACATAAGCTAGTTTGGTCAGTATCAAAAAGAAAAAAATTGAAGGAGAATACACACATCTGGCATCCAAGGTGCGGTGCCTGTAGTCAGAACATGCAAAGCGGTTTTCAGATCCGGGTTCGGTAATCGCGCGTAGACCAATCCTCTTTTGAGCTCGCTCAACTCGTGAATCGTGTGCCCGTATTTGCAGATTTGATGGTACAAGTGATTGTTGATATCAATCAACTTGCTAACATCTTCGCTTCTCCGGCTCCATTCTGACATTACCAAAGCCTTCGTCCATTCCGTATGTGATTCCTGGGCAAACTTCAATAGCCTCAGCTTCTTGTCCATATTATCCTTGCTATCGTCATCGGCCCTCGATATTTGAGGTCCATTTCCATCGGCCACAGAGAGGGGCATGGGCATCTGCGTTAAGTCCTGAATTGTTTTCACCAAATCATTGTGAGTCTTTTGCGCAAGGCGACCGAGCAATTTTGAGATGGGAAAAAATCCCTCTGTGATATGGACAATCTCCGGTGGAAGCTGACCCATTCGAGCCTTGGGAACCAGCTCTTCGATTTCGTCGCGCTGGGATGAGCTAGACATGAATCCGCCGTTGATGCCATTGGGTACTGTAGGGCTGACGGGGGTCACATTCTGTAATGTCTCTGCTCGACCTTTGCCCTTGTCCGTAGCCTTTTCAGAAACGTATCCCGCGCCATTGATGCCGTTCGACCGTTGATCTCTGTCGTGATTCGTATGGGATCCGCTCCTCTTCCCGTTCTCCATTATGACGCCGGGCATGCTCCCTCCTTCCTCAAGTCCACCCGACCTCTCCAACCCCTTCTCCGCGCCCCCTGCTACCTCCTCTCCAGACCTTCTCCGCTCTGCCGACTCTATCTTGGCTGATGATGAGGGGAGCAGAGGTGGTGAGACTCAGCGGCAGGCCGTAAAAGCAAGATAGCATGCGCTAACCGTCGTACACAGAGAACATCGGCGCGAAGGTGCTCGGTAGCTACTCGCGAGCACCGCCAACAGGAATCCTGCCTCTAGAGACTGCGATAGGTGCGCGACTTGATCTATGATTGAGAATGAAGAGCGCGACCTTGCATGAAAGGATGGCCAGTAGCGTCCGGGCGGATGTACGTCGCTCTTACGCCGAGAGAGACCACTGATATGAGGTGAAGTGTGTCCAGCGGAGATAATTCGACTCGTGCGCGAATTCGATGCTGAGGGTGAA